GGCTCCACAATACAAAAAGGATGTGGAGAAGCTTGAGAGAGTCCAGAGAAGAGCCACGCACATGATCAGAGGTCAGGAAAACAGACCTTATGATGACAGGCTGAGAACCATGGGGCTCTTTAGCCTGGAAAAGCGCAGGCTCAGGTGTGATCTGATGCCACGTATAAGTTTATCAGGGGTGACCACCAGTATCTGGGGGAACGTTTGTTCACCAGAGTGTCCCAAGGGATAACAAGGTTGAATGGTTATAAACTACTGCAAGACCATTTCAGGCTGCTCATAAGGAAGAATTTCTTTACTGTCCGAGCCCCCAAGGTCTGGAATACCCTGCTATCGGAGGTGGTTCAAGCACCTACATTGAACACCTTCAAAAGAAATTTGGATGCTTATCTTGCTGGGATGCTATGACCCCAGCTGACTTCCTGCCCCTGGGGCAGGGGGCTGGACTCGATCTTCCAAGGTCCTTTTCAGCCCTAATGTCTATGAAATCTATGAAATCTGTCCTTCCTGAACAGTTTGTACCCACCCATGACAGTGCTCCAGCCATTCAAGTTCCCTGTTATTCCAATCACATCATAGTCCCGTGACTGTATGAGGACTTCCAATTCCTCCTGCTTGTTTCCCAGGCTCTGTGCATTTGTATACAGGCAGCTGAGGTAACTAGTTGATTGCCCTGATTTTTTAGGAAGTATGAGAGCACCTCCCCTGTTGCCCACTCCTGCTTGCTCTTTGTTCATGTCTCTCATTTCCTTCGACACCAACATCCTGAGGGACAACCAGCATGGGTTTGTTGCGGGTAGGTCTTGCTTGACCAATCTCATTTCCTTTTATGACCAGGTGACCTATCACCTGGACAAGAGAGAAGAGATTGCTGTCATATATCTTGACTTCAAAAAAGCCTTTGATCTGGTATCGCATGATCACCTCAGGGCTTTGGTTTCCATTCCCTGGCAAACTTAGTTTAAAGCCCTCCTCACTAGGCTAGCAAGCCTGTAAGGGCACTCTTCCCTTTCTTTGTCAGGGGGATCCCATCTCTTCTCAGCAACCCTCCTTGGAAGAATATCTCATGTTCAAAGAAGCCAAAGCCCTGCCAGCTCTACAGCCAGGTGCTGATCTGAAGGATGCATCCGCTCCTGCCCAGGTCCTTCACCTTGACTGGAAGGATTGATGAGAACACAACCTGAGCCCCAGACCCCTTCACCCTTGCACCCAGAGCTCTGTAGTCACTTTTGATCTGCTCAGTGCAGATCAGGGTAAATGATACCCTGGCAGTATCATTGGTGCCCACATAGATGAACAACATGGGGTAGTAGTCAAAGGGCCAGATAAGCCTCAGTAGTCCTTCCGTGACATCTCGGATCCAGGCTCTGGGCAAGCAGCAGACCTCCCAAGACAATAGGTCAAGTTGGTTGATGGCTCCCTCTGTCGTCTACAGAAGGGAGTCTCCAACCACCACCACCCATCGCTTCTTCTTGGTGGCAGTCATCTCAATCCTTTCCACCTAATGAGGCCTGTCCTGTCCTCCTCCACCAATGCAACCTGCTCCTCCCTCTGTGCTGCTAGGGCTGCAT